CCCCAAAACCCCAAAACCCCAAAACCCCAAAACCCCTTTAATTATGATAATATTGATGCTGGTTTTGAAAGATATGAAGTCCAAAGTGGTAGCTCAAACTCGACAACAGCATACCAAAAAGCGAGGCAAGATGATATTGAGAACATTACATTAATTTCTTCAAATTTAACTTTTTGTCGATATCCCTTTTAACAAGCTCAAGCTCGTTTTCTTCGAGCTCTTTTAGTAAAACTAACACTGCTCACAAAATATTTTCATTCTTGTATTTTCCTCCATTCGGGCCTGGCTTAGCGGGGCCTGCGTTCAATGGAGTACTGTGTGCATGCATCAGACGTGGCTGCTGCATGGGAGGGAAATAGTTCCCAGTATCGTTCATCCCGTACCTTAGAGGAGGGGTCTCTCTTGAATAGGGATTTCCGGTTTGAGGCCTTTGTGGGATTTCATATGACGGAAATTTTCCTCCTTCTCCATACATCTCCCCTCCTGTAGGACCCTTACTCCAGTAAACAGGCTTTGATCCGGGGTTTTGTGGCTGGTGTTGCGCCTGAGGCACCTCATTCATTGGAGAATATGAAGGCTGCTTATTGTCTTCATAATTTGGCATTGGAGGTGATCTCTGGACAGGCTGGTGAGGTGCAGCTATATTGGGTTCATTCATCTCATAACTCGGAGGTTTCTTAGGAGACTCGTAGTTATATCCATCATTCTGCTCGAAATCTTCAGATGCTGGTTGAGTAGGAGGAGCATCAAATCTTTGAGGTTTGGAATCTGGTACGCCGAGGTCATCATCGTCAAAGTTCATAGAAGCAGCTACTTCAACCTCCTCTGGAGTGACTTCAACCTCATCTAATTTTCTCAAATTAGGCAAGACTTTCAACACATACATTCTATAATTAGGAATTGCTGCTATAGGATTCTCTGCCAGCCAAAGGACCTCCAAATTAGGACAATTAGAGAGATAATTAACTTCTCTAAGATCAGAAATTTCATTCTTCCTTAATAACAAATCAGTAAGGTTTGGTCAATATGCAAAGTCCTCAAGGGTCTGTAACTTATTAAGGGCCAGACTGACTACCTTGACGCTGTGCATTTGCCTAATAATGGAGACTTCCTCAAGGTCATTTCCCCATAAATTTATCTTGTCGATTTCTTCTAGCCTATCTGTCTTACATCGCATTTGAATCAACTGCACGTTGAGTTTTTTCCCCATTTTTGATTTATAATTAGAATTTTTTAAAAATTTCAAAAAAGCTCAAACCAGGGGTTTTGGGGTTTTGGGGTTTTGGGGTTTTGGGG